AGTTAACATAAAAAATAACACACACAACTCCAAAGTTTCTCTCAAATTATACATTTTTAGGCAATATAAAAAAAAACAAACTACAAAATTTTATCCTTCATGATCAAAATTAAAATATTAATTGATTCAAAATGGCCATTTAAATTCAAGAGTAACACTGAGTGGGTTCCTGTTGTAATCAAAAATTACCATATGAATGAATGGAAGTCATTTCCATTATAATAAGAGGAAATTAAACTATATTAACATTTAGTGTTTTAAAAAAATAAATTAAATTTACTTCACATCATTGGCTGCTGGTTATTTGAAAGCTGCAATGTATTAATAGATCAAATACAACAATAAAAAATATACACATGCGTACAAAGACATGGTTTTGATCCATTCCTTGAGTGAAGTAAGGTATCTCCGAATCATTGTATCATTTATCCATTTCACACAAAACATTTAGCATATAGGAGGCCCCCCCCCCCCCCGGGGGTTCGACATTAACAGCAGTACTGGCCTCCCTTATGTATCCTATACATGTGTAACCCCTTTTTCCCACATTATAATGAAAGCTATTATATAACTTTTATTATAAGCTCTGCAATGAAAAAAAAAAAAAACACGCTGCAGTTATTTTCCCATAAAAAAACTGGAAAAGTTTACTCTTAAACAAAAGGGACAATAAAGTTTGTTTAAAGTAAACATTATCACAACTATTAGGCAATGCCTAAAATACTTCATCATGGCCACCTGAGTACGTTTTTTTTTTTTCCATGCCAAAACCATCAAAACTTTTCAAATTGAAGAGCTTATAATTCTTTTAAAGAAAACTCCTATTCTAAACATTACTTTAAAAACATATCATTTAGTGTTAATGTTTAACACCACTTTTACAGGCACATTGGTAATGTTAACCTAATATATTCAGGGAAATTAAAAAAGTACTAAGATCGTTTCTCCTAGCAGGTCTTACTTTCACTCCAATTTTAATTATTTGATGTATGAAAGTTCCAAAATTTCCTGAGCTCTAATACATACATGGTAATTCATGAATCACCAAAAAAGAAATAAGTCATGCACTTCTAAAAGGGTACAAAGATACTGCCATTTAAATTTGATAACCTGGATACAGGTCAGCTAAGAAATTATTGTGGAAAACAAATTTAACCATGAATGTGTTTTACTTCTTGGGGTTGCCCTACCCAGTGGGAAACTGTTAATGTATTAAACTGTCATAATGATGTAACTTTCTCCATAGGGAAGTGGAGAAGAATCCTTCCTCCATAATCCATGTGAAATAAGAGGTGACTCAAATGCCAGGAGTAAGAGACTAATAACCCCTTCTCTTGTATAAGTTACTAAATGTAAAAAGAAGAAACTTATGAAAGCATTTTTTTTTTTTTTTTTTTGGTTCACCCAGCCTCAGTGGGAGACAGCCAGTGGTAAAAAAAAAAAATGATGTAATTTAAGTTTAATGCCTTTTGAACCTCACTTATAAGGTGGGATTATCAGAAAAAATACATAAAATATAACTACTTGAATTTCTATGACTTTTTTTGTATGTTTAGTACAATTTGTGCTCATACTGTAACAAGTTTTGCACCTCTTAGACACTTATTCAGGATGGAGTCCTTCATATTTAAAAAAAATGACTAAGTAGAGTATATAATGAAATTAAATACTATTTACAGTACTAACGTGTAAAATTTTGTGACCTATTAACTTCAAATGTTTTAAAAATAAAAATCTTTAAAAATTAAATTTATAGGCAAATTACTTGTTAATATAAATGCAAGTGCATCAAATAGCTTTATAGCATTTAGCTATTAATTTGTAGAAGTGTCATGCAACTTCGAAGAAACTCCCTCCACCCCACCCAAAAAAAAGAAAAAAGCAATAATCAAATGGAGCCTTTTCTTGTTGGCAATATGTAGGAAGAAATATTAAGGTACTTATCAGAAAACTATATCTAGGATCATTCATTCTGAAGAGCCATGTCCCAAGAAACTGACTACAACTCAAATATGTGAATTCCAGCATTTTTCATCTATAAGAATGGTCAACTTACATGTGGGAAAATGCATTATGTATTTAATACAAGATGTGCACTTTTCAAGATGCAATTAATTTGGCATGGAAGCTCATGCAACAATGTGTATACTGTTTACCCATAAAATTTATGGAAACTGTTCACTGCCAAAAACTGTGCTAGAGTAGAAACAATACTAGTTCGTTCAAGTTGGCCAGTTACATATATTACATATCATATACTTATAAAAAGAAATCGACTGACCACCTAGTCTATTTGTTTAGTTTTCTTCATTTTATTATTACACTATCCATAACTACTAATTCAATTAAGTTCATGGAAGTAAATGCATTTGCTCGCTTAACTTTCATCCAATATGCTGTTATTTATCTTTGTATAATTTTACTTCAGATTCTGATCATCGTGGTTGCTGGGGTAATCTTCATCTTACTGCTAACATCATAGTCTAAACAATTACTGTATTATGGTTTACAAGTCATAATGACCCAATTAACTGATCAATCAGTTATTACACCACCCTGGTGGATCAATAAAATTTTGTGATTCAACTATGCAATTCACAATTCACTTACAGCCTGACTTGTCCCAGGGACACAAGGCTGAGCTCCATGGAATAACATAGACGGACTTCCCCCATTTCAAGCATGGTCCCATATTTGGAAAATGTGGGTTCTACTGCTGCAAAAAAAAAAAAAAAAATTACAAGTAAATGAGATGAAACTATTAATGTTTCAACCACAGTCCAAGGAAATACATATAATCAGTGGGCTAAAATGAGGCTCTGACTGGTTCACTCAGTGGTCCTCAGTCCTCACATCCAACTACAACAGTATAACAATGATCTTATTTACACTGCTTCCAGTTACCTTCCTAAACCCGCACTATGCTCATGTGAGAATACAAGCATAGGTCGCTTTCTCATTCAAGAGTTTGTAGAATCCACAAAATACCTTCTTCACTCGTTCAAACACAGTTTCATCATTTACAGACCTTGCAGTGTTCGTAGATCAATGGCTCTTGTAAAATAGAAAATTAGAATATTGAAATTAATTTTACACATATACAACATTCAACCGGCATGTAATAACTTTTCCATGGCTTTTCCTCAATCACTCTTTACAAATCTGCAAGGTAAGTAGTTCCGAAGGAGAATCATAATTATTTTCATTGTGTCAAGTATCTCTAATTTTTAGTTCCATACAAAAAATTCATGCTTTAATATTAAAAGATTTCAAAATATTGTAGTTATTCACCAAAAATCCACTTCGTGAGGAACCTAATGATGATCTGTCAGTCCTAGACCCATCTTCAAGTGAATCGGTCCAGGACAGACCAAAACATCATAGATTATGGTAAATTTTTCTAGCTATGATGTTATAAACTGTTCTTTTTTGGGATATGGGAATTAGGTATTCTTAAATGTGGAGAGATTGTAAAAGATTGGATTGTAAATTACGTATGTGAAGCAGTACTATCGATTAGTAAAGATTTAAATTTAATAAAGAGTCCTCCAAATACATAAGTAAGGAAAGCATAATTAGGAGATGAAGAAAAAAAAAAGAACAACTGCTGGTAGTTTAGTAATATTAGTAAGGTTAGGATTTGTTGCAGAGCTATTTTAGATGCACAATAAAATTTGCATTACCACAATGATTTACCTTTCAAGGTCAGTACCATAGTACTAAGGTTGAGCTCAGGGTCTGTGCCAATAGTCCTACATTGAGCTCAGCCACTCTGATATGCAGCGAGCATTAAATTTGGGCCTAGAAATGAGAGAAAGAAGTCTATGCAGTGAGGGTGCACCATATAAATAAAAATCCTGGCCCCATGCAGTGCATGATGGGAAAAAGAAAGCTGAGGACTATGTTTTGGTGAAAATATCAACTTTGTAGGTGTATTTTCAAGATGGTTTTGTCTTGTTGTATTCTCAGTTTTTGGATATCATTTGACTGAATGGACAAATATCTTATGGAAATAGAAGATTATTTGATTGGTTTCAGTTACTGAAAAATCACATGAAAATTGAGCTCAAAGCAGAATGTTTGAATTTTGAAAGACTCAGAGGACACATGTTACATCACTCTCCAATTACCATCCAAACTGGTCGATCTAATGGGCATTCGCAAATTGCACTGACATTTTTTTAAATAATTATTACAATATGCGCAGTTGCCTAACAGCTAAATAAAATTCAAAAAGGAAAGCAATGGTGTGTAATATCGTAGGGAAGGGGGATGAAATTATGAACAGAAGAAACTGTTGCTGTAGTGCCAAAGAATGTCTTCATTGTTTATTCTGGACCCTATTTTTAAAATTGGCAATTTTTTAATTTTGTTGTTGAATTTGGCTCTAAATTATGATTTCTGATACTTTTATGAGTATGTTTAAATAGTAATGAGTGGTTTCTTCTACTCAATCAATAGAATGGAAGGCACACTAGCAAAATAGCTATGAGTTTGGTCAACTGGCACAATGGAATTGGACTAAAATAGGGCTTGAAGTGGGCAAAATCACCAATAAGTAAATACTGCCAAGACCGTTTAATTTGCAAAAGCGTAATTCTGTAAGTTTCCCATCAAATTTCGTACTTTTAGTGTCATTACTTTCGGATAAAGATTCTCTATCATTTCATATTTTTTGTTTTTTAAATTCTTGGACCCTGAGGTCAATTTTCAGATCAGGGATCTAGACCCTGAATGGGTTAAAAAATCTCATGCAAAGGGGAAAAAAATCAAGGGTCAATTTTTAAGGCAGTTTGATCTTCTTGACCAAATCTCCCTAAAACATTAATTTTTTTACAAAAATATCTCATAATTTTGATACATTAACTCTATTCTTTATTAAATACTGTAATGTATTTGCAATTCCAGATTATTCACAGAAGAAAATATAATGTATCAATTTTTTTTTATTATATGATTTGTAAAATTAATTTAGGTAATAATAAGCCACAACAATATCAATTACAGATGCATTTACTACAGCTTTTCAAATATTACAAACCTTCAATGCAAAGGTATTTCCACATTCTTGTATCATTCTTTCGAGACTTGACATTGCGACAATGAGCTGTGGGTACCGTCCCTCCAGTCCGCACTGAGATTGTCTCTTCAATAAACCTGTCAAATAAACTTGGATCATTGTAGCATATCAAAACAAAAACAAAAAAATCCAACAACAAAAAGAGACCTACTTTCTGGAAATACAGCACTTCTTCAATGAAAGAAAAGCCATCATCTGTAGAACAGGAAGTGTGCCAAAGTGTAGAGCAGTGTTAGTGAAGTGATCTTGAACAAGTTTATAGAAGAGAAACAAAGTGGTTAGGGATGAAACAAAGCAGCTGCAAAGGAGCTGCAGAGCATTTGAAAGAATAGGTAAGATATGCAGTTTTTAAAGTGAAAAAAAAAATAATAAAAAGACACAATACCATGATTAGTTAACCCTTTGGCTGTTGAGACCCCAAATCTTGAAGTCTCTCTCCATGTTGTAAGATATTTGGAAAAAAAAAATTCTTATGAAATGACATAGAATCTTTCCCCGATGGTAATGACACCAAAAGTACGAAACTTGATGGAAAACTTACGGAATTACACTCTCGCGAAGTAAGCAATCTCGGCAATATATACGCATTGGCGATTTCACCCACTTTGAGCACTATTTTTGGCCAATTCCATTGTTCCAATCAATCAAACTCATAGTTATTTCTTTAGAACTCCATATGTTCCATCAATTGAGTACAAGAAACCGTCCATTTACTGATTTCAACTACCCAATAAAGTGGTCAGAAATTGGCAATTTGGCCAATATCATGTAAATTAAAAAAGATCCCAATTTCAAAATAGGATCCAGAATAAACAATGAAAACATTCCTGGCACTAAAATAACATTTTCTCTGTTCATTAGTCACATCTCCAGGCCCCTCTTATATTACTCTTACTTTCTGTTTTGAATTTTTATTCACACAAAAAAATAGTTTACTGTAATAACTATATAAATAATGTCAACCCATTTGTAACTGCGTATTAGACAGGCCAGTTGGACATGTATTGGACGCTTGAACATCGGCAAAAAACAAACATTTCCACTACTTTGAGCTCAATTTCAAGGTCCTTTTCATCATGAAACCAATCATCTCTATTTCTGTAACATATCTTCCATTCTATCAAAAGAGACCAAGGAAATGAGAATATAACCATAAATACTATTCAAAATTACACCTCAAAGTCGGCATTTTAATCCAAAAACATGGCTGAATTTTTTTTTTTCTCATTATGCCCTGCATGCTGCAGGATTTTTTTATATTGTGCACAACCACCACACAGATCCATTCTCTCATATGTGGGCCTACCAGCTTTCTCCTGCTTGATTTGAAGCAGCTAGAATTTTGTCACATTAATATGTCAAAAACACTGGCTCGTAAGACATATACAGTGGAACCTCCAACGAGTTTAATCCATCCTGTGACCTTGCTCTCATCTGGATTTGCTCGTTTGCAGAGTCAATTTTCCTCATTTAAATTAACTGAAATGGAATTCATTCATTCCAGTGGAATTCCAGGCACCATAAAATACTTCAATAATTTCCCTAATATCAACTCTATGGCTTATTTATCTATCACAATTCATCTAATATGACATAATAAACAATATAAATAACATAGAAACCTGATATATACTCTAGAATGAATAAAATATGTCATTATGTGACAAGTGGAGGCAGCCATAACCACTCCAGCATTGTTGTGGTAAACACTGCCATCTAGTGACAGCCTTTTGAAGCCATCTATTATAATAATTATATAGTACGTTATGATTGTATTATTATTATACGTATATTATTATTATTATTATTATTAGTATTATACTATTTATTATACGTATTATTTTTTTTTTCAACAATATAAATAATTTGGAATTTTTATTCACACAAAAAATAGAAGATTTACTGTTATGCAGAATACTGCATTATTGTAATAATTGTATAAATAATATCAAGCCATTCATGACTGCATATTGGAATGGAGGTAACGTCATTTGTTTACTCTTGAACATAGCCAAAGAATTGAACATTTCTCCCACTTTGAGCTCAATTTCAAGGTACTTTTCGTTGTGAAAGCAATGAAAATCATATCTATTTCTGTATTGTATCTTCCATTCTCCTAGGTAGTAGGCTAGTAGACAGCAACCACCCAGGGAGGTACTACCGTCCTGCCAAGTGAGTGTAAAACGAAAGCCTGTAATTGTTTTACATGATGGTAGGATTGCTGGTGTCCATTTTTCTGTCTCATGAACATGCAAAGTTTCAGGTACATCTTGCTACTTCTACTTACACTTAGCTCACACTACACATATATGTACAAGCATATATATACATGCATACCCCTCTGGGTTTTCTTCTATTTTCTTTCTAGTTCTTGTTCTTGTTTATTTCCTCTTATCTCCATGGGGAAGTGGAACAGAATTCTTCCTCCGTAAACCATGCGTGTCGTAAGAGGCGACTAAAATGCTACAAGCAAGTGGCTAGTAACCCCTTCTCCTGTATATTTTACTAAATGTAAAAGGAGAAACTTTCGTTTTTCCTTTTGGGCCACCCCGCCTCGGTGGGATACGGCCAGTGTGTTGAAAGAAAGATCTTCCATTCTATCAAATGAGACCAAAAAAAAGAGAATACAACCATACAAACCAAACGAAAATACCGCTAAGGGGTGGCTAATTGCTGAGAAGTGAACTCCAATGGTCCAATTTCTTTCATTTTTGGTGTACGTTAAGAAGCATCTTTCCATCATACATTGCCCAAGTTTCATTAAGATAGCCCAACAAACAAATGAGATCCAATTCTCTAGAGCAAGATCAAGAACCCCTCACCAGCATCAAGGAACCTCCTTTGAGGCCCGCTTACTTATAGAAATTTCACTCATATATGGAAGCAAAAAAATTGACCGATCAACTGCTCGTATTTGGAAAAACTCGCACGTGGATGCACTCGCAAGTGGAAGTTCCCAACACAGACAGTCAAAGGGTTAAAGGTCCAAGTCAGACAAACATTCATGAGTTTCACACACGTGCAAGTTATTTGTCTTTTTTAAAGTGAAACATAGCAAAAGATCAATGTAGCCATCATGCCTCATTTGAGATAGCAACTTACATTTACTAGGAGTTTCTGATCATACAGTGAGTTAGAATACTTATTAAAATGAACAAACAGCAGAAAGTAAATAAATTACAGCTGGCAACTAACACTGTTACTTGATGGCTTCCAACTTTAAGACTACCAATTGAGATAAAGAAGGATAAGCTTACAGGGCCATACTCTTGGTACCAGTTAATGATCAATACCAGCTGACATAACAAGTAACATAAAAAGTAATTTTTTTTTAACACACTGGTTGTCTCCCACCATAGAAGGGTGACCCGAAAAAGAAACACTTTCACCATTATTCACACTATCATTGTGTTGTCCAAGGCATGTAGATATGACAGTTTAGATCTCTCTCTAAAGACCAAATATATCCCAAAACCTCTCCTTTAGAGGGGTTTTGGGATTTCCCCAAATTATTTTTTTTTTTTTTTATTATCACACCGGCCGATTCCCACCAAGGCAGGGTGGCCCGAAAAAGAAAAACTTTCACCATCATTCACTCCATCACTGTCTTGCCAGAAGGGTGCTTTACACTACAGTTTTTAAACTGCAACATTAACACCCCTCCTTCAGAGTGCAGGCACTGTACTTCCCATCTCCAGGACTCAAGTCCGGCCTGCCGGTTTCCCTGAATCCCTTCATAAATGTTACTTTGCTCACACATCCAACAGCACGTCAAGTATTAAAAACCATTTGTCTCCATTCACTCCTATCAAACACGCTCACGGCATGCCTGCTGGAAGTCCAAGCCCCTCGCACAACAAAACCTCCTTTACCCCCTCCCTCCAACCCTTCCTAGCCGACCCCTACCCCGCCTTCCTTCCACTACAGACTGATACACTCTTGAAGTCATTCTGTTTTGCTCCATTCTCTCTACATGTCCGAACCACCTCAACAACCCTTCCTCAGCCCTCTGGACAACAGTTTTGGTAATCCCGCACCTCCTCCTAACTTCCAAACTACGAATTCTCTGCATTATATTCACACCACACATTGCCCTCAGACATGACATCTCCACTGCCTCCAGCCTTCTCCTCGCTGCAACATTCATCACCCACGCTTCACACCCATATAAGAGCGTTGGTAAAACTATACTCTCATACATTCCCCTCTTTGCCTCCAAGGACAAAGTTCTTTGTCTCCACAGACTCCTAAGTGCACCACTCACTCTTTTTCCCTCATCAATTCTATGATTCACCTCATCTTTCATAGACCCATCCGCTGACACGTCCACTCCCAAATATCTGAATACGTTCACCTCCTCCATACTCTCTCCCTCCAATCTGATATTCAATCTTTCATCACCTAATCTTTTTGTTATCCTCATAACCTTACTCTTTCCTGTATTCACCTTTAATTTTCTTCTTTTGCACACCCTACCAAATTCATCCACCAATCTCTGCAACTTCTCTTCAGAATCTCCCAAGAGCACAGTGTCATCGGCAAAGAGCAGCTGTGACAACTCCCACTTTGTGTGTGATTCTTTATCTTTTAACTCCACGCCTCTTGCCAAGACCCTCGCATTTACTTCTCTTACAACCCCATCTATAAATATATTAAACAACCACGGTGACATCACACATCCTTGTCTAAGGCCTACTTTTACTGGGAAAAAATTTCCCTCTTTCCTACATACTCTAACTTGAGCCTCACTATCCTCGTAAAAACTCTTCACTGCTTTCAGTAACCTACCTCCTACACCATACACTTGCAACATCTGCCACATTGCCCCCCTATCCACCCTGTCATACGCCTTTTCCAAATCCATAAATGCCACAAAGACCTCAAATCCCCAAATCCCTTCACAAAATATTACCATGCTCACACTCCAACAGCTCATCAAGTCCCAAAAACCATTCATCTCCACTCACCCCTATCTAATATCCTCACTCATGCTTTTCACACAAAACCTCCTTTACCCCTCCCTTCATTCTTTCCTAGGACAACCCCTACCCTGCCTTCCCTCTACTACAGATTTATACACCCTCCAAGTCATCTTATTTTGCTCCATCCTCTCAATGTCCAAACCACCTCAATAACCTATCCTCAGTCCACTGAATAATAATTTTAGTAACTCCGCACCTATCTCCAAACTATGAATTCTCTGCATAACATTTACACCAAACATAAGAAATTGCTAAATCCTTATGGATCATAAAGCAGGAAGGCAGGTAAGAATTATGTGCAATATTACTAAAGCTAATAGTCCCTAACTAGAAAAACACATACCTTATACATGAGAAAAATAAGACAATAATGTAATGGGTTTTGGAAAAAAAAATAAAAAATGGATAGAAACAGAAAAGTTAATAGTAGGCCTGACAAGAAGTCATATGTCCCCAACAAAGTGAACTCCCATTATGCAACCAACTACTTATACCCCTGACAGAATAAAACACTTACCACCACCCCACAAATATAAAATACCTTTCACTAACCTCTCCTGCCTTTTCCTGCATTTCCTCAACCCATTAACTATGCCAATCCATTGTACATGCTCCCATCCCAGATAAAAGTCTACAAAGTTTTAAACAAAAACATGCATAACTTACGTAAATTTATTGGCAAAGTAGTCAAGGAACCCATGTAACAACTTGCCAAGACTATCATGATTGTTGGAGGTGAAAGTTGGCATCTTTTCCGTAACTGGGATGGATGTAATTTGTGCATAGGCACGAAACTTTTCTGGAAAGGTCTTCTGTAAGCATGGCAAAACCGGTGGCTCTACACCATCTGCAAAGGAAGTACCTTCATTATGGCATGATCATCAAGACTAGGTTGTACATAATTTTAATAAAATTATTTTTTTTTTTTTTTCAACAAGTCGGCCGTCTCCCACCGAGGCAGGGTGACCCAAAAAAGAAAGAAAATCCCCAAAAAGAAAATACTTTCATCATCATTCAACACTTTCATCACACTCACACATTATCACTGTTTTTGCAGAGGTGCTCAGAATACAACAGTTTAGAAGCATATACGTATAAAGATACACAACATATCCCTCCAAACTGCCAATATCCCAAAACCCCTCCTTTAAAGTGCAGGCATTGTACTTCCCATTTCCAGGACTCAAGTCCGACTATATGAAAATAACCGGTTTCCCTAAATCCCTTCACTAAATATTACCCTGCTCACACTCCAACAGATCATCAGGTCCCAAGTATCATTCATCTCCATTCACTCCTATCTAACACGCTCATGCACGCTTGCTGGAAGTCCAAGCCCCTCGCCCACAAAACCTCCTTTACCCCCTCTTTCCAACCCTTTCGAGGACGACCCCTACCCCTCCTTCCTTTCCCTATAGATTTATATGCTTTCCATGTCATTCTACTTTGATCCATTCTCTCTAAATGACCAAACCACCTCAACAACCCATCTTCTGCCCTCTGACTAATGCTTTTATTAACTCCACACCTTCTCCTAATTTCCACACTCCGAATTTTCTGCATAATATTTACACCACACATTGCCCTTAGACAGGACATCTCCACTGCCTCCAACCGTCTCCTCGCTGCTGCATTTACCACCCAAGCTTCACATCCATATAAGAGTGTTGGTACTACTATACTTTCATACATTCCCTTCTTTGCCTCCATAGATAACGTTTTTTGACTCCACATATACATCAACGCACCACTCCCCTTTTTTCCCTCATCAATTCTATGATTAACCTCATCCTTCATAAATCCATCCGCCGACACGTCAACTCCCAAGTATCTGAAAACATTTACTTCTTCCATACTCCTCCTCCCCAATTTGATATCCAATTTTTCTTTATCTAAATCATTTGATACCCTCATCACCTTACTCTTTTTTATGTTCACTTTCAACTTTCTACCTTTACACACATTCTCAAACTCATCCACGAAAATTTGCAATTTTTCTTTAGAATCTCCCATAAGCACAGTATCATCAGCAAAAAGTAACTGTGTCAATTCCCATTTTGAATTTGATTCCCCATAATTTAACCCCACCCCTCTCCCGAACACCCTAGCATTTACTTCTTTTACAACCCCATCTATAAATATATTAAACAACCATGGTGACATTACACATCCCTGTCTAAGACCTACTTTTACCGGGAAGTATTTTCCCTCTCTTCTGCACACCCTAACTTGAGCCTCACTATCCTCATAAAAACTCTTAACAGCATTTAGTAACTTACCACATATTCCATATACTTGCAACATCTGCCACATTGCTCCTCTATCCACTCTATCATATGCCTTTTCTAAATCCATAAATGCAATAAAAACTTCCCTACCTTTATCTAAATACTGTTCACATATTTATGTTTGAATACAATACCTAAGATATTGTTGGAACCACTATACTTTCGTACATTCCCTTCTTTGCCTCCACTGATAACATTTTTTGTCTTCACATATACCTCAGCGCACCACTCACCTTTTTAACCTCATCCTTCATAAACCAATCTACTGACACATCAACTCCCAAATATCTGAAAACATTCACTTCTTCCATACTACTACTCTCTAATGTGATACCCAATTTTTCTTTATCTAAATCATTTGATACCCTCATCACCTTACTCTTATCTATGTTCACTTTCAACTTTCTACCTTTACACACCCTCCCCAACTCGTCCATTAACCTTTGCAACTTTTTTTTTTTTGAATCTCCCATAAGCACAGTATCATCAGCAAAAAGTAACTGTGTCAATTCCCATTTTGTATTTGATTCCCCATAATTTAATCCCTACCCTTCCCCCAACACCCTAGCATTTACTACTTTTACAACCCCATCTATAAATATGTTAAACAACCATAGTGACATTACAAATCCCTGTCTAAGATCAACTCTTACTGGGAAGTAATCTCTCTCTCTCCTACATACCCTAACCTGAGCTTCACTATCCTCATAAAAACTCTCTACAGCATTTAGTAACTTACTATCTATTCCATATACTTGCAACATCTGCCACACTGCTTCCCTATCCACTATCATATGCTTTTTGTGTGTTAATGTTGCAGTTTAAAAACTGTAGTGTAAAGCACCCTTCTGGCAAGACAGTGATGGAGTGAATGATGGTGAAAGTTTTTCTTTTTCGGGCCACCCTGCCTTGGTGGGAATCGGCCATTGTGTTAATAAAAAATAATATATACTTCAATGTAAACACTTGATCTACACATCCCCTACCCACTCCAAAGCTGCCTTGCTCATCCACAATCCTACTCTCTGTCTTGCCTCTAATTCTTTCAATAATAACCCTACCATACGCTTTTCCTGGTATACTCAGTAAACTTATTCCATTATAATTTTTACAATCCCTTTTGTCTCCATTCCCTTTATATAAAGGAACTATACATGCTCTCTGCCAATCCCTAGGTACCTTCCCCTTTTCCACACATTTATTAAACAAAAATACCAACCACTCCAACACTATATCCCCCCTACTTTTAACATTTCTGTCATGATCCCGTCAGTTCCAGCTGCTTTACCCCCTTTCATTCTACGTAATGCCTCATGCACCTTCCCCACACTCACATCCTGCTCTTCTTCACTCCTAAAAGATGTTATACCTCCCGGATCAGTGCATGAAATGACCGCCTCCCTTTCTTCATCGACATTTAAAAGTTCCTCAAGATATTCCTGCCATCTACCCAATACCTCCAGCTCCCCATCTACTAATTCCCCTACTCTGTTTTTAACTGACAAATCCATTTATTCCCTAGGCTTTCTTAAGATGTTCATCTCATTCCAAAAATTTTTTCTTATTTTCATTAAAATTTCTTGACAGTGCCCTCCCACTCTATCATTTGCTCTCCTTTTGCACTCTCTCAACCTCTCTTTTACTCTCCAAATACTCTGCTCTTCTTATAACACTTCTGCTTTGTAAAAAAACTCATAAGCTAGCTTTTTCTCTTTTATCACACCCTTTACTTCATCATTAAACTAATCACTCCTCCTTCCTCCTGCACCAACTCTCCTCTAGCCACAAACTTCTGCCCCACTTTCTAATACTGCATTTTTAAAACTATTCGAACCCTCTTCAACCCCCCACTACTCATACTTGCACTAGCCCACCTTTCTGCCAATAGTTGCTTATATCTCACCCTAACTTCCTCCTCCATTAGTTTATACACTTTCACCTCTCTCTTGTTTTTTTTTTTTTCATTTTCCTTTCATCCCATCTACCTCTTACTCTAACTGTAGCTACAACTAAATAATGATCCGATATATCAGTTGCCCCTCTATAAACACATGTACATCCTGGAGCCTACCCATCAACCTTTCATCCACCAATACATAATCTAATAAACTTTCATTATGTGCTATATCATATCTTGTATACTTATTTATGCTCTTTTTCATAAAATATGTATTACTTATTACCTAACCTCTTTCTACACATAGCTCAATTAAAGGCTCCCCATTTTCATTTACCCCTGGCACCCCAAATTTACATACTACTCCCTCCACATCATTTTTACCCATTTAAGCATTGAAATCCCCAACCACCATTACTCTCACACTTGGTTCAAAACTCCCCACGCACTCACTCAACATTTCCCAAAATCTCTCTCTCCTCTACACGTCTCCCTTCTCCAGGTGCATAAATGCTTACTATAACCCACTTTTCACATCCAACCCTTATTTTACTCCACATAATCCTTGAAGTTATACATTTATATTACCTCTTTTCCTGCCATAACTTATCCTTCAATATTATTGCTACTCCTCCCTTAGCTCTATTTGAAACTCCTGACCTAATCCCATTTCTCTCTCCCAGCTGAAACTCTCAAACCTCCCTTCAGCTTTGTTTCACTTAAAGCCAAGACATCCAACTTGTTCTCATTCATAACATCCACAATCATCTCTTTCTTATCATTCACACAGCATCCATGCACATTCAAACATCCCACTTTGATGGTTTTCTTCTTTTTCTCTTTAATAGACTATACAGGAAAAGGGGTTACTAGCCTATTGTTCCCGGCATTTTAGTCGACTTTTACAACATTCATGGCTTATGGAGGAAAGATTCTTATTCCACTTCCCCAAGTATATAAAAGGAAAAGCAATAAGAACAAGAACTATTAAGATAAAATCAAAGAAAACTCAAATGAGTGTGTATATATAATGTGTAAATGTATGTGCAGTGTGACTTAAGTGTAAGTAGAAGTAACAAGATGTACCTGAAATCTTGCATGTTTATGAGACAGAAAAAAGACATCAGCAATCCTACCATCATGTAAAATAATTACAGGCTTTCATTTTACACTCACTGGGTGGGTGCTGTCTACCAACCTACTACTGTATAAATACAGTGGGACCCAGAGTTTTGGCTGTAATCTGTACCAGGAGCTAGGCCTAAAGTCAAAACGGCCTAAAGTCGAAGCAATATTTCCCATAAGAAATACATGTATAGTGGTCCCTCAATTATCGTCCTTAATCCGTTCCTGGAAGTGGGACTATTATCGAAATAGACTATTTCCGAATCAATTTTCCCCATAAGAAACAATGTAAATATAATTAATCCGTTCCTGACACCTAAAAGTATTAAAACAAAAAATTTTTTACATGAAATATAGATGTAGTACATAAACAATACAATGGGACATGATAAATGAAACATTAACAGCATAACACTTACCTTTATTGGCAATTCTTCTTAGTGTATGGAAGACTGGAGGAGGAAATCCCCACTAGCATTAGCACAGAACATAAGCATCAGCCTGTCTTTCATAGGCTTGTGTCCCAGCAATGCCTTTTCTTCCTGAGTAATGTAGGTCCTCTTTGGCATTTTCTTCCAAAAGAGGCCTGTTTCGTCACAATTGAACACTTGTTCAGATTTCAGTCCTTCAGCCTCTATGTACTCCTTGAATTCCTGCACATATTTTTCAGCCGCTTTTTGGTCCGAACTGGCATTTCACCATGCCTTATCACACTGTGTATGCCAGTACGCTTCATAAATTTCTCAAACCAGCCTTTGCTGGCCTTAAATTCACTCACATCACCACTAGTTGCAGGCAATTTCTTTACCAAATCGTCATGCAACTGCCTAGCCTTTTCACAAATAATCGACGTCATAAGACTATCTCCTGCTAATTGTTTCTCGTTTATCCATACCAATAATAACTTCTCATCATCTTCGAGTACTGGTGATCTCTTTTTTGTCAGCATATTTACCCCCTTTGCAACAACAGCTTCCTTGATTTCCTTTTTCTTGGCTATGATGGAAGATATGGTTGTACGGGATTTGTTATACATCCTGCCCAGTTTGCCCACATGTATGCCACTTTCATATTGTTCAATGATGTTTTTCTTAAATCCAATCGTATTTCTCACCTTCTTTACCAAAGGCTTGGCACTAGGAACTTTCTTTGGAGCCATGGTAGCTTATTTAGCACTTGCAAGCACTAAAATGAATGGAATATTATGAAATATTTCATATGAACACGTGAGGGGACCGTCGCTCACTGGTAAACAATGGCACACTGGCTGGGAAGGGAGGACGACGCGGCTCAGAGCCGTGAGTACGCGTCCAGGATGAAAGACGATTAGAGTGTTAATGGACCATTTGCGAGCCAATGTTTAGACGAAATAATGCGACTATTTCCGAAATGGACGACTTTCAGGCCGGACGATTATTGAGGGACCACTGTACTGTAAATCCAATTAATCCGTTCCACCCAAAAAAATTCACAAAAAAAAAAAAAAATTTAAAGAATAAATACTGTAGTTTTACACACAGAAAACAATGAGAAATAAATATAAAGCACTAATTTTAATGGATAAATGAACATTTAACTCTTAAACTGTCCAAACATAGATCTACATTCATACATGTAGTGCTCCGAACGTAGATCTACATTCAATTTTACATTCTTTATGCAAAAAAAAAAAAAAACGTAGATCTATGTTCGGAGCGCTACACGTATGAATGTAGGTCTACGTTTGGACAGTTTAAGGGCTAAATCAGTTTTACCTTTATTGAAGACTCTTGTTGGCATATGAGAGAGGCAGGAGAGTTTGTTTGGAGGCAAGACAAGATAGTCCTTCAATATGACACTAATATCAACTCTACAGCTTATTTATCTAGCACAATTCATCTAATATGACATAATAAACAATATTAATAACATAGAAACATGATATAATACTCTAGAATGAATAAAATACGTCATATGTCTCTCTCCCTAATCAAACGAGTGTTGCTGTGTTCTTTGTTTGGTTGTATAAGGGCCAATCAAAGATAAGCCTTAAATGTGGTGGTGATGGTGGCAGCAGAGACGCCGGTGTTGTCAGTCGTCCTATATAACTCCAACATTAGAGGAGTCAGTTTTGCGCTGTCCTTTTTCTATCGATTAATCGCTTAACTTACTTGCTATACTGTTAATGCTACACTTTATTGCTGGCTGGCACTATAGCCTTTATCGACTCGTGCTGCTTTAGTATCGTACATATCGTAGAATCACTGAATCACTGAAGGAGGCACGATCTCCCCTCTCTCTCCCTCCTCAACTTCTGTACTTTGCTAAATTTTTCTTCAATTTTATCGTGTTTCTCGCTTTCTTTACCAAAGGGCTGCCACTATGAAGTTTCTTTGGGCCCATGGTGGCTTATTTCAGTCACAATCAATAAGCAAGCACTAAACACAATGAATTTATTGTGAAATGTTTGGATGAGTGTGCAAGGTAATGTTCACTCAAGGCTAAACAAAGCCAGACTGGGTCAAGACACCTGCAGGCAGGTGCACAGGCACAAGCAGGTCTGGTACGCCAGCCAAAACACAGGGCACAGGCTGAAACTCGGGACAAATTTTAGCCGAAAAAAGCGGTCGAAACTCGAAGCGGCCAATATTCAGAGCAGCGGAAACTCAGGGTTCCACTGTAATCTCAACCCATTCATGACTGCGTATTAGACTGGCCAGTTGGACACACATTGGACAGTGACGTCATTTGTTTACTCTTGAACATGGGCAAAAATCGAACATTTCCACTTCTTTGAGCTCAATTTCAAGGTACTTTTCCTCATGAAACCAATCAAAATCATCTCTTTTTCTGTAATATATCTTTCATTCTCTCAAGCGAGACCAAGAAAACGAGAATACAACCATAAATACCATACGAAAATACACCTCAAAATCGGAGTTTTAATCCAAGAACAGTTTTTTTTTCTCATTATGCACTGCGTGCTGCAGGATTTTTTTTACACTGTGCACACTGACCATGCAGACCCATTCTCACACATGTAGGCCTACCAGCTTTCTCCTGCTAGATTTCAAGCCGGTAGAAATTTGGGGCATTAATACGTCACCAACACTGGCGTGTAAGCAGTACCTATATGCCACCATCAGTGAAAGGGTTAATTTATAATGAATTTAGACTGATTAGATTTATGTCTAGAATGCCAGGAGTGTCACTATTGTGGTTGTCATAACTTTTTTCATTTCAATTTGCTTCACAGACCACCACATGTGAAACAGTAAACACTATGTGCATTTTTTTTTTTTTTTTCAACAAGTCGGCCGTCTCCCACCGAGGCAGGGTGACCCAAAAAAGAAAGAAAATCCCCAAAAAGAAAATACTTTCATCATCATTCAACACTTTCACTATGTGCATATCATAAATATTTAAATATCTGTGAAAAAAAAAAAATCTGTGAAAAACTTATTTTGTGTATCAGAATTGTTTAGTTTTGCATGTTCCATTACACTATAATTACAAAACAAATGAAAAAGATATCTACAATAGGGTTGCCAAAGCAACTTCCAGTATAGAGTTTATGATGTTACCTACTGGACTAATTTGATTTAATAGCAAGTAAAAAAGTAGTTAAAATTATACTTACTACCTCTTGTGCTGTTGACCAATGAGTGAGCAGTTTTACTCTTAGCTACATCTTAGAATAAACTTCAGCCAATACCCAATATTAGAAGCAACCCCCATAGAGCCTTAAATGCAAGAGTTAGACAATACTGCATTCAGGAAACAACTTACGCTGCAGGTAATGTATGACCATGAGTACCAAGGAATACGAGGAGATGGTCATGTCCTTGGCATTGTTGATATTGTGATACTGAGCCCAAAGTTTCACCACCAGGACCAGAGGACGAACACGCCAATCCACTAAAAAACAAGACGGGGAGAGAAACTTAGGTCTTACAAATAATCAATGCAACACTGACACATGCTTTAACCTTTATATTTGATTAAACAAGATAACAATACTGTAATATCCAACATTAACAATTAAAACAATAACAAATCAGCATACTATAACAGAGTTGAACCCTACTTTTCACTTGAGACTACAGAAAGAATCATCTAAGATCAGAGAATAGATGTTTATGAAGAAAAAATTTCTACTTTTCCTCAATATACAAGTGAGACTTCCTGTTATCCCTGCTGCAGGTACAGTGCTAAGAAATCTCCATCTATTCTCAATCATGTACTTTTATGACCTTATGTGTGGTTATCACATCTTTCTGTTTCCAATCATCCAACATGGGCATTTCTAGTGTTGAAGTGCTTTAGTGTTTTCCATAATGTTTAGTGTAATTTATGATGTTTATTATAAATTATGTATAGAAGTACATCACTGCCATTAACCACTTGGAAATACTACAAAGTCACTGCCAGTTTACAGGTTAAAATATACCATAATCTTTTAAATTAATACTCAATATTTAACTTTCTTTTCTTATGCACAAATAATCACAGTAGCCAAATAAAAATATTTAATAAACTACCTTTTACTTCTAGCTTTCAGCCTAGACCTTGTTTCTTATATACCCTGCCTGCATACCCATTAAAGCTTACTGTAGAATTATTAGTGAAAGGGTTAGGGGCAAGACAAAGTAGGATTGCAGAGCAGGAAGGATTCAGGAAGGACAGGAGATGTATATAAACCAAGTGTTTACATTGAAGCATAGGGGGGCAGTACTGTACTTAACCCTTTCACTGTCGAGACCCCTGCTCACAAACCTGCTCTCTGTGTCAAAGAAATTAAAAAAAAAAAATTATTTTTCTTATGAAATGATAGAGAATCTTTTCCCGATGGTAATGACACCAAAAGTATGAAATTTGATGGAAAACTTACGGAATTACACTCACAAAGTTAGCACTCTCAGCGATGATTATGCATCGGCAATTTCGCCCACTCTGAGCCCTATTTTCAGTCCACCCACTTTGAGCCCTATTTTCAGTCAATTCCATTGTTCCTTTCGACAAAACTCATAGCTATTTCACTAGAACTCCATTTGTTCTATCAACTGAGTACAAGAAACTGCTCATTTAAAGATTTCAACTACCTAGTATAGTGATCAGAAATTGGTAATTTGGCCAATTTCATACTGAATTCGAGAAAGGCCAGTTTCAAAATAGGGTCCAGAATTAACAATACAAACATTCCAATGACTAAAATAATGTTTTCTCTGTTCATTAGTCACAGCTCCAGGCCCCTCTTACATCATGCTTGCTTTCCATTTTGAATTTTTATTCACACAAAAAATAGAAGATTTATTGTTATGCAAACTACATTATGTAAAAATGGTATAAATAATATCAGCACATTTGTGAAAGCATATTAGACCCACCAGATGACATGTATTGAACACATGACGTGATTTGTTTACTCTTGAACATTGGCAAAAGTCAAACATTTCTGCTACTTTGAGCTCAATTTCAAGGTACTTTTAGTCTGTAAACCATTCGAAATTGTCTCTATTTCTGTAATATAGTATCTTCCATTTTATCAAATGAGACCAAGAAAACGAGAATACAACTATAAATACCATACGAAAATACACCACAGTCATTGTTTTAAATCAAAAACACGGTTGGAGTTTTTTTTACTCCTTATGCACTGTGTGCTGCAGGATTTTTTTTTATACTGCACACAATGACCACTAAGACCCATTCTCTCATATGTAGGCCTACCAGCTTTTTCCCACAAGATTTGAAGCCACTAGAATTTTGACGTAATATTACGGAACTGACACTGGTTTGCAAGCTGTAATATTACGGAACCAACAGTGAAAGGGTTAAAAAGGGTAACTAGCTGTTTACTGCATTTGTGAATTCAGAAAAGGCATATGAAAGGACGAATACTAGAGCTATGTGGCAAATACTTCAGATGAATGGAATAGGAGGTAGGTTACTAAAAATACTAGTTAACACCTGAACTGTGATGTCAGCACACTTCTAGTAAGACAGTGATTGAATGAGCGACTGTTAAAGTGTTTCTTCTATTTTGGGTTACCATACCTCGGTGGAAGATGGCCAATGTTAAAAAATTATGCAGTGTGTGAAACTAAGGTAGGGTATGTAGGAGGGAGATTATTTCCAGCAAAAGCAGAACATTAGACAGGTATGTGATGTCACCATGGTGGTTTAACAAATTTACAAATGGGGTTGTAATAAGAGGCAAATGCTAGGATATTGAGAAGGGTCATGGGATTAGATGTTGGCTCTGATACAAAGTGGGAGTTATCCCAGCTGCTCTTTGCTGATGACAGCTCCTCTGGGATATTCTGAAGACAGGTTGGAAAAGTTGGGGGATGAATTTGGGAGGGCATGTAAAAGAAGGAAATTAAAAGTGAACACAAAAGTGCAAGGTGATGAGGATAACAAAAATTGTAGGCAATGATAGACTGAATAATGAACTGGAGCGAGGGAGGGAGTATGGAAGTGAATGTCTTTTGATATTTTGGAGTGGACATGTCAGCAGATGAGGACAGACAAGGTGAACCATAGAATAGATGAAAAGAAAAAAGGTGGGTGGGTAGAGGCATCTGTGGAAAGAAAAGCTTATCTGTGGATGCAAAAAAAAAGGGAATATACCAGAGTACTGTGGTACCAACACTTTTATATGGGTGTAAGGCATGGGTTTTAAACTCTCTAGTGAGAAAGAGGCTACAAATAGTTAAGATGTTAGAGTAATATGAGGTATGAATATCATAAAGAGTTTGGAGCATGGAAATGAGAAAGTGCTGTGAAATCATCAAGGGTATAAGTCAGAAAGCTAAGGAGGGGTCATTGAGGTGGTTTGGGCATGTAGAGGCCGAGTGATTCAATAACAAAAAGAGTGTATTAAGCAGGAGTGGTATAGGTCATCCCAGGAACAGCTGGAGGGATGGTGGTAAATAGAGGCTTTGAGCTTTAGTGGCTTGATCATCCAGCAGATGTTTGAGTGAGTTAGATAGAGGAGTGAATGGAGAGAAGTATTTTTTAAGGATGCACTGACAGAGTGAGAGCAAGGTAACTTTCATAGACATTCAGGGAAATCGCTTAGATAAACCTAAGTCTTCAAAGTGGGAACGACAATGCCTGCACCCTGAAGGTGGGATGGGGGTGTTACAGACAGAGGGTAATCTGAATTGTGATGTCAGAACACGTTTGTAGAGTGACTGAATGAATGATTGTGAAAGTGTTTTCTTCTCTGAGTCACCCTGCCTTGGTGGGAGACTGTCATAGAAAAAAACTAAACAATAAACAATATTCACACTGCAGTTCTGTTCTAAACTAATGTTTTACTAATATGCTTACACTGTGAGTACGAGTTGAGAAGGTGTGTGTTGCGAATCCCAACAGCATTGTTGCAGTTGAGGTCCACATCCACTTGTGAAGTTGCATCTCGGAACTTCAAAATGGGCACCTTTGCACGTATTAACTCCATTTTTTGAATTGAGCCTGAAAAAACATGTACAGTACTTCACTAAATTAAAAATATTATGGGCTTGAGGGCAGAAAAGCAATACTTTATAATTATGTTACTATCACAAATGAATATAGAAGAAACAAAGTTCTTCTGTTTAAATTAAACTTCTTACCACAATTGTTGAGTTCTCTCTGGAGAAGACGCAGGACGGCAGTTGCTTCAGTACGCTGATCAAGGTCACCAGGGGTAACCATGAGACACATGTCTACATCACTGCAGTCTGCACCAAATCCACTTAGAGATGACCCAACTACATATAACCGACAATTTGGCAACACATTCTGCAAACATTAATTATACTTGTAGGGGTGTCCACTGGATCCTGCTATCAACCTTAAATTGGCTGACAAACCTAAGCTAGTGAAAAAAATGTAGAGAAATTATCAGAGAGATGGAAAGGCTGTTGTTATTGTGGATAAGAGAGAAGCAGATGAAGGGAGATAGTCTCTGCTTGTTGTATCTGTGAGCATGCAAGTCCAAAGCCACAGTATAAGTTGCATTTCTGGGGTCTTGGAACAAATTACCATGAAACAGTATATAGTGGGGTTTAAGTTACAATAGTATAGATGTATAATACATCTGGAATGGATTAATATTATAACTCAAGGGACCACTGTACTCAGTTTTAGGCAGACACTGATACCATCAAAATTAGGCATTACTCACCATTACTGATACTCTGGCACATTCCTACTTGAAAAGCATTTCAGTCTGTACTGAATTGTGCAGCTAGACTTGTATTTTTACTCCTACCTGAAGGTCCAACTAGTCCATACTCATAAGACCTAAATTGGCTCCCTATTAAGGAGCTTCCAGTTTAGCCAAACCTGTAGCCCAATTCATACTGCATAAACAGGTCATCAGGACTGGTAGGCCTCCAGCAATGTCCCTATCTCACAGTTCATCCACACAGTGACCTTTGTCTTGGCCATTCACTTGACTACTTCACTTGAATAAAACTGCTTGTTGTGCATCTATAAGCATTACCTGAAAAAGGCTGTCCCACAGGTGAAACATCTCAGTAAAATTCCTCTCTACAATTGTGTCCTTTCAACAAAATTTGTTGATAACATCTCACCCACTCTCTCATTTGCTCTCTTTTTACATTGCTTCACCACTCTCTTAACCTCTCTCTTTTTCTCCATATACTCTTCCCTCCTTGCATCACTTCTACTTTGTAAAAACTTCTCATATGCTAACTTTTTCTCCCTTACTACTCTCTTTACATCATCATTCCACCAATCGCTCCTCTTCCCTCCTGCACCCACTTTCTTGTAACCACAAACTTCTGCTGAACACTCTAACACTACATTTTTAAACCTACCCCATACCTCTTCGACCCCATTGCCTATGCTCTCATTAGCCCATCTATCCTCCATAGCTGTTTATATCTTACCCTAACTGCCTCCTCTTTTAGTTTATAAACCTTCACCTCTCTCTTCCCTGATGCTTCTATTCTCCTTGTATCCCATCTACCTTTTACTCTCAGTGTAGCTAACAACTAGAAAGTGATCTGATATATCTGTGGCCCCTCTATAAACATGTACATCCTGAAGTCTACTCAACAGTCTTTTATCTACCAATACATAATCCAACAAACTACTGTCATTTCGCCCTACATCATATCTTGTATACTTATTTATCCTCTTTTCCTTAAAATATGTATTACCTATAACTAAACCCCTTTCTATACAAAGTTCAATCAAAGGGCTCCCATTATCATTTACACCTGGCACCCCAAACTTACCTACCACACCCTCTCTAAAAGTTTCTCCTACTTTTGCATTCAGGTCCCCTACCACAATTACTCTCTCACTTGATTCAAAGGCTCCTATACATTCACTTAACATCTCCCAAAATCTCTCTCTCTCTCTGCATTCCTCTCTTCTCCAGGTGCATACACGCTTATTATGACCACTTCTCGCATCCAACCTTTACTTTAATCCACATAATTCTTTAATTTACACATTCATATTCTCTTTTCTCCTTCCATAACTGATCATTTAACATTACTGCTACCCCTTCCTTTGCTCTAACTCTCTCAGATACTCCAGATTTAATCCCATTTATTTCCCCCCACTGAAACTCTCCTACCCCCTTCAGTTTTGTTTCGCTTAGGGCCAGGACATCCAACTTCTTTTCATTCATAACATCAGCAATCATCTGCTTCTTGTCACCAGCACTACATCCACGCACATTTAAGCATCCCAATTTTATAAAGTTTTTCTTCTTCTCTGTTTAATAAGTGTCTACAGGAGAAGGGGTTACTAGCCCATTGCTCCCGGCATTTTAGTCGCCTCATACGACACACATGGGTTACGGAGGAAAGATTCTTTTCCACTTCCCCATGGACAAAAGAAGAAATAAAGAAGAACAAGAGCTATTTAGAAAAAGGAGAAAAACCTAGATGTATGTATATATATATGCATGTGCGTGTCTGTGAAGTGTGACCAAAGTGTAAGTAGGAGTAGCAAGATATCCCTGTTATCTAGCGTGTTTATGAGACAGAAAAAGAAACCAGCAATCCTACCATCATGCAAAACAGTTACAGGTTTCTGTTTCACAGTCATCTGGCAGGACGGTAGTACTTCCCTGGGTGGTTGCTGTCTACCAACCTACTACCTATTGTTGAAAATAAGAAAAAGTTTTGGAGTGAGATTAACAAGTTAAGAAAGCCTAGAGAACAAATGGATTTGTCAGTTAAAAATAGGAGAGGAGAGTTATTAAATGGAGAGTTAGAGGTATTGGGAAGATGGAGGGAATATTTTGAGGAATTGTTAAATGTTGATGAAGATAGGGAAGCTGTGATTTCGTGTATAGGACAAGGAGGAATAACATCTTGTAGGAGTGAGGAAGAGCCAGTTGTGAGTGTGGGGGAAGTTCGTGAGGCAGTAGGTAAAATGAAAGGGGGTAAGGCAGCCGGGATTGATGGGATAAAGATAGAAATGTTAAAAGCAGGTGGGGATATAGTTTTGGAGTGGTTGGTGCAATTATTTAATAAATGTATGGAAGAGGGTAAGGTACCTAGGGATTGGCAGAGAGCATGCATAGTTCCTTTGTATAAAGGCAAAGGGGATAAAAGAGAGTGCAAAAATTATAGGGGAAGTCTGTTGAGTATACCTGGTAAAGTGTATGGTAGAGTTATTATTGAAAGAATTAAAAGTAAGATGGAGAATAGGACAGCAGATGAACAAGGAGGCTTTAGGAAAGGTAGGGGGTATGTGGACCAGGTGTTTACAGTGAAACATATAAGTGAACAGTATTTAGATAAGGTTAAAGAGGTCTTTGTGGCATTTATGGACTTGGAAAAGGCATATGACAGGGTGGATAGGGAGGCACTGTGGCAGATGTTGCAAGTGTATGGTGTAGGAGGTAGGTTACTGAAAGCAGTGAAGAGTTTTTACGAGGATAGTGAGGCTCAAGTTAGAGTATGTAGGAAAGAGGGAAATTATTTCCCAGTAAAAGTAGGCCTTAGACAAGGATGTGTGATGTCACCGTGGTTGTTTAATATATTTATAGATGGGGTTGTAAGAGAAGTAAATGCGAGGTCTTGACAAGAGGCGTGGAGTTAAAAGACAAAGAATCACACACAAAGTGGGAGTTGTCACAGCTGCTCTTTGCTGATGACACTGTGCTCTTGGGAGATTCTGAAGAGAAGTTGCAGAGATTGGTGGATGAATTTGGTAGGGTGTGCATAAGAAGAAAATTAAAGGTGAATACAGGAAAGAGTAAGGTTATGAGGATAACAAAAGATTAGGTGATGAAAGATTGAATATCAGACTGGAGGGAGAGAGTATGGAGGAGGTGAATGTATTCAGATATTTGGGAGTGGACGTGTCAGCGGATGGGTCTATGAAAGATGAGGTGAATCATAGAATGATGAGGGAAAAAGAGTGAGTGGTGCACTTAGGAGTCTGTGGAGACAAAGAACTTTGTCCTTGGAGGCAAAGAGGGGAATGTATGAGAGTATAGTTTTACCAACGCTCTTATATGGGTGTGAAGCATGGGTGATGAATGTTGCAGCGAGGAGAAGGCTGGAGGCAGTGGAGATGTCATGTCTGAGGGCAATGTGTGGTGTGAATATAATGCAGAGAATTCGTAGTTTGGAAGTTAGGAGGAGGTGCGGGATTACCAAAACTGTTGTCCAGAGGGCTGAGGAAGGGTTGTTGAGGTGGTTCAGACATGTAGAGAGAATGGAGCGAAACAGAATGACTTCAAGAGTGTATCAGTCTGTAGTGGAAGGAAGGCGGGGTAGGGGTCGGCCTAGGAAAGGTTGGAGAGAGGGGGTAAAGGAGGTTTTGTGTGCAAGGGGCTTGGACTTCCATCAGGTATGCGTGAGCATGTTTGATAGGAGTGAATGGAGACAAATGGTTTTTAATACTTGACGTCCTGTTGGAGTGTGAGCAAAGTAACATTTATGAAGGGGTTCAGGGAAACTGGCAGGCCGGACTTGAGTCCTGGAGATGGGAAGTACAGTGCCTGCACTCTGAAGGAGGGGTGTTAATGTTGCAGTTTAAAAACTGTAGTGTAAAGCACCCTTCTGGCAAGACAGTGATGGAGTGAATGATGGTGAAAGTTTTTCTTTTTCGGGCCACCCTGCCTTGGTGGGAATCGGCCAGTGTGATAATAAAATAAAAATAATAATTGTGTCCTTTTCACTACCTTTCAGCTTTGTCTAAAACTGAACCTGACTCTATTTTTTCAACAAAAATTCAAACTTACCCTGATGACTTTGAAAATCTTCTCCCGTAGTTTGAGCTTCTTGTAAAATGTGTCATTTTTCTGCTGATGTCTGCGGAATGTATCCCAAACTTGCTTTGTCAGACCGTCCCATTCTGTTCCTGTCAACAGTTCACTGGGGGTTTCAACCACTTCACATTTCCACTTAGTATACACATTTATTCTTTCCTCACTGAATGTTCCTGCACGTCCACTCAGACATCTGCTTTGGTCCAGAGTGCTATCACTGAGTGGTAAGCAATGGGCATTGTACTGATTTGCATTATATTTACTATATACCCTTCCCTGATTAAATCTCCCATAGCGTTCATCGCCAATATGTTGGTTAAAGTCCCTCCAGCGGTGGTCGATGTGCCCAAAGTAGCCATAGTTATTGTACCCCTTCTCATATCTCTGGCTCTGAAAGTTGCTGCAGTCCCTGTATGCCAGATCTGGACAGTGCTGGTTGTAGTACTGGCCGTTTCCCCGTGCAACACTCCCATTACCCATATAACCCCCATGGTGGTTAGGATGATTATGATATTGGTTATGGTGGTAATTAATGTAAGGATAGTTTGAGCGAAGATGGGGTTGGTGGGATTGATTATTGGACTGATGATGGGGCTGATGGTTGGATTGGTGATATGGTTGATGGTTGGATTGGTGATGTGGTTGATGGGGCTGATTTTGATGGAGGGGATGGTGATGAGAATAAGCGTGATTATTGTGGTGAATATTTTGTCCATCGGAATTATTATTGTATCTCCGTTTCTGTCGGGGATTGCGGTAAGATCCCTGAGAGCTGACACTGCAGGCACTGGGGGACCCACTTCGTGATTCACAATTACTGTTGTTGGTGCTTCTCCTCGCCGGTACATCTAGGTGACGTCTGAAAAGCCATGAAGCAATGTTTAAATCTTGTAATTATTCAAGAATTTATTTTCCTGGGTTATCCAGCAAAACATCCCACTGTTAGTCTAAGAATTTTTTTTTTTTCAGAAGCTAGGGCAAGAACCCTAACATTTCATTAAGCCGTATACTGTACTCTGAAGTAAAAAATTTAACCACTTCTTAATGCTTGAAAAGTTTGTAATTTATTTATTAATACTGGGTGCTCAAATTTATACTGCTTGAGACAAGGTGATGGCATAAGATAAGTGGCACAGTACAATAACTCAAAACACCAAGTGGGAAAACTCTATCCTATGACATTTCACTGATAGACGGACTTTTATCAAGTACAGTACTTGATAGAAGCCTACTGTGGATTAATAGTCATGAAATCAACACTTTCCCCACTGTGTCTTTGAAGTACTGCTTGGAACTAGTTGCAAGATTAGAATAAAGAATATTTGGATTTACAATGATTTAAGTGTTTAAGTAAAAATTGCCTAGGTGCAACTTTCCTAATAACTAAAAATATCAAATTTTTCTGTACCAATGTACAGCATAGTAGTCTACTTGCCTCTACACAGATGTGAGGAATATCATAAAATTTCCCAAAACATCCCAATCTGACAAAAGTCACTGCTCCACTCAATCACACACACTCCTACTCTGAAATCATCATTTATGATAATTCACACCTTTTCGTGCAGTACTTTCAAATAATCACTATCACCATTATTATCTCTATTTCCCACTTTCATGGGGTGAGGGAGGGCTCACCTTCAAAAAGATGAGAATGTACAGTAGGCAAAGGATGATTAAATTTATTGACATCCCTGGCCATTCATAATACTATACCATATTCTCAAATGTTGCTTTACAAAATGCACAGAAAGTAAAGAACAGCTAAATTTACGACATACTACACCTCAAATTGTTTACATACAACCAGTTCTGAAAGATGTTATCATAGCTGGACCTGAGACCCACAAGCCTGAGTAATCAATTCTATGAAATGTTTTCAATTATATTCAGTACATTGTATAATGGGAAAGTGCTTAGTCTAAAATAAGTGACAATATGTACCCAAGTGAAGAGATTACGACTGTTTACAAATTACATTATTTCCTGCATTTTAGTCCATAGAAACCTCACTTCTTTTTTAAACCTTGCTTATTTTACTCTAGATTTTTTAAGCACATCAGCCATTTCTCAGAAAGGTAGCTAGACAATGAGTCCTTGCTTAGCACCTTTATATTCACACACATTCAAACAATCTAACCTCAATTTTCTCTCTGGTTATTATGAGCAGAAAAAAATGAGGTAATCAGCCCCCTTGCTCCAGATAATTCAGCTGCCTTCTAAGACAAACACTGGCTATCGGAGGCAGATTCTAACGCACTTTTTCTTTACAGCAGAAATTTATTTGTAGGCATTATTATAATACAGTCCGCCATCACAAATCCGGCAATCAGTTATTCGGTTCCTTCAGTTATTCGGCACTAATTTTGGCTAGCATAATTTCAAATTTCCAGGGTCGCCACACCAACCTGCTGGTACTATTTGGTGGCGCTACTTGCTGCATAAGTCATTCCAATTTCTTTTTCTCCATTTATTGTTATAACCTGCTTACTTTTAGCCCTAGCCATGGTTCCAATGCATAAAAGAAATGCTTCTCATTATGTAAAGCACCGACACAGTACATTATCCATTAAAGATAAGGAGGTTTTGAAGCCACTGTCGGTTGCCATGAGCTCAGTCTCATGATGCAGGAGAATATACATGATTATTATGCTAATATCAACACTACAGCTTATTTGCCTATGACAATTGATCTAATATGACATAATAAACAATATAAATAACATAAAACATGTTAAATACTCCAGAATAAATAATATTTGGCATAACACCGAGCAGTTCGACGGAGGTATGAAGAGGATATGGTATACAAATACCATTCTCCTATCCCTGTCTTGGGGGCTTATATTAGAGAAAACAGAGTATAGCATAGGGCTAACTGTGATATACACTCATATTGCACCATAAACCTGAAACAAAAAAGTTATTTTCTCTATATAGATTATCACACATAGCAGCATATGTGTAGAGAACCTAGGATAACCCAAAAAAGTCAACGTGGCTGATTTCTAGTACCTGGTTTGGGTTAGCCATATATGATTTTTGGTAAATATTCAATTCCCAGCCAGGGTAGAAACATTAGGCATGTTTCTTTACACCTGTTGTCTATGTTTACCCATCAGTAAATGGGTACCTGGGTGTTAGCCGACTAGTGTGGGTGTTATCCTGGGACACTGACCTAATTTTCTTGAAATACTCTGCATAACAAGCAGCTTTCTATATAGTAGTATGTCACTGATGTCAGCTATGTCTGTATCCCATGTACATGTACGTGTAGTAAATAAAGATATTATTATTATTATTTTCTCAATTGTTTGTTGGGTTATCTTATTGAAACTTGGGCAATGTATGATGGAAAGATACTTCTTAATGTACAACAAATATGAAAGAAATCAGACCATAAATAGTGGAGTTCATTTCTCAGCCATTAGCGGCCGCTTAGCAGTATATTTTTGTATATTTTTTATGGTTATATTCTCATTTTTTCAGTCTCATTTGATAGAATGAAAGATATGTTACAGAAATAGATACGATTTTGATAGCTTTCATGATGAAAAGTACCTTGAAATTGCACTCACAGTAGCGGAAAAGTTCTATTCTTTAACGAAGCTCAAGAGTAAACAAATGAAGTCACCGTCCAATACCTGTCCGCCTTCCAGTCCAAATTCCAATACAGAGTCAAGAATGGGTTGACATTATTTATACAATTATTACAATAATGCCATTATTACAATTCCTGCCATAGCTTATCCTTCAACATTATTGCTACTCCTCCTTTAGAAACCCCTGACTTAATCCCATTTATTCCTCGCCACTGAAACTCACCCACCCGCTTCAGCTTTGTTTCACTTAAAGCCAGGACATCCAGCTTCTTCTCATTCATAACATCCACAATCATCTCTTTCTTATCATTCACACAACATCCATGCACATTCAGACTTCCCACTTTGACAATTTTCTTCTTATTCTTTTTAGTAATTATTACAGGAAAAGGGGTTACTAGCCCATTGTTCCTGGCATTTTAGTTGACTTTTCCAACATGCATGGCTTACAGAGGAAAGATTCTTATTCCACTTCCCCATGGATTTAAAGGGAAAAGTAATAAGAACAAGAACTAAGATAAAGTTAAAGAAAACTCAGATGAGTTTGTATAAATAAACGTGTACATGGAGAGTAAAAGAAAGGTGAAGAGAGTGGTGAGAGAGTGCAAAAGGAGAGCAGATGATAGAGTGGGAGAGGCACTGTCAAGAAATTTTAATGAAAATAAGAAAAAGTTTTGGAGTGAGTTAAACAACTTAAGAAAGCCTAGGGAAAGTATGGATTTGTCAGTTAAAAACAAGAGTAGGGGAGTTAGTAGATGGGGAGAGGGAGGTATTAGGTAGATGGCGAGAATATTTTGAGGAACTTTTAAATGTTGAGGAAGAAAGGGAGGCGGTAATTTCATGCACTGGCCAGGGAGGTATACCATCTTTTAGGAGTGAAGAAGAGCAGAATGTAAGTGTGGGGGAGGTACGTGAGGCATTACGTAGAATGAAAGGGGGTAAAGCAGCTGGAACTGATGGGATCATGACAGAAATGTTAAAAGCAGGGTGGGATATAGTGTTGGAGGTTGGTACTTTTGTTTAATAAATGTATGAAAGAGGGGAAGGTACCTAGGGATTGGTGGAGAGCATGTATAATCCCTTTATATAAAGGGAAAGGGGACAAAAGAGATTGTAAAAATTATAAAGGAATAAGTTTACTGAGTATACCAGGAAAAGTATATGGTAGGGTTATAATTGAAAGAATTAGAGGTAAGACAGAATGTAGGATTGCGGATGAGCAGGGAGGCTTCAGAGTGGGTAGGGGATGTGTAGATCAAGTGTTTACATTGAAGCATATATGTGAACAGTATTTAGATAAAGGTAGGGAAGTTTTTATTGCATTTATGGATTTAGAAAAGGCATATGATAGAGTGGATGGAGGAGCAATGTGACAGAAGTTGCAAGTATATGGAATAGGTGGTAAGTTACTAAATGCTGTTAAGAGTTTTTATGAGGATAGTGAGGCTCAGGTTAGGGTGTGCAGAGGAGAGGGAGAATACTTCCCGGTAAAAGTAGGTCTTAGACAGGGATGTGTAATGTCACCATGGTTGTTTAATATATTTATAGATGGGGTTGTAAAAGAAGTAAATGCTAGGGTGCTCGGGAGAGGGGTGGGATTAAATTATGGGGAATCAAATTCAAAATGGGAATTGACACAGTTACTTTTTGCTGATGATACTGTGCTTATGGGAGATTCTAAAGAAAAATTGCAAAGGTTAGTGGATGAGTCTGGGAATGTGTGTAAAGGTAGAAAGTTGAAAGTGAACATAGAAGAGTAAGGTGATGAGGGTATCAAATGATTTTGATAAAGAAAAATTGGATATCAAATTGGGGAGGAGGAGCATGGAGGAAGTGAATGTTTTCAGATACTTGGGAGTTGACGTGTCGGTGGATGGATTTATGAAGGATGAGGTTAATCATAGAATTGATGAGGAAAAAAGGTGAGTGGTGCGTTGAGGTATATGTGGAGTCAAAAAACGGTATCTATGGAGGCAAAGAAGGGAATGTATGAAAGTATAGTGGTACCAACATTCTTATATGGACGTGAAGCTTGGGTGGTAAATGCAGCAGCGAGGAGACGGTTGGAGGCAGTGGAGATGTCCTGTCTAAGGGCAATGTGTGGTGTAAATATTATGCAGAAAATTCGGAGTGTGGAAATTAGGAGAAGGTGTGGAGTTAATAAAAGCATTAGTCAGAGGGCAGAAGAGGGGTTGTTGAGGTGGTTTGGTCATTTAGAGAGAACGGATCAAAGTAGAATGACATGGAAAGCATATAAATCTATAGGGGAAGGGAGGAGGAGTAGGGGTCGTCCTTAAAAGGGTTGGAGAGAGGGGGTAAAGGAGGTTTTGTGGGCGAGGGGCTTGGACTTCCAGCAAGCGTGCATGAGCGTGTTAGATAGGAGTGAATGGAGATGAATGATACTTGGGACCTGACGATCTGTTGGAGTGTGAGCAGGGTAATATTAAGTGAAGGGATTCAGGGAAACTGGTTATTTTCATATAGTCGGACTTGAGTCCTGGAAATGGGAAGTACAATGCCTGCACTTTAAAGGAGGGTTTGGAATATTGGCAGTTTGGAGGGATATGTTGTGAATCTTTATATGTATATGCTTCTAAACTGTTGTATTCTGAGCACCTCTGCAAAAACAGTGATAATGTGTGAGTGTGGTCAAAGTGTTGAATGATGATGAAAGTATTTTCTTTTTGGGGATTTTCTTTCTTTTTTGGGTCACCCTGCCTCGGTGGGAGATGGCCGACTTGTTGAAAAAAAAAAAAAATGTTTAGTGTGACCTAAGTGTAAGTAGAAGTAGCAAGACGTACCTGTAATCTTGCATATTTATGAGACAGACAAAAGACATCAGCAATCCTACCATCATGTAAAACAATTACAGGCTTTCGTTTTACACTCACTTGGCAGGACGGTAGTACCTCCCTGGGTGGTTGCTGTCTACCAACTGTTGGCGTGATATAGCATAGAATAAAGATAAAAAAAAAAAAGGAAAAAAAGCATTCTGGTCAGATTATTATTATTATTATACTTGTAAGCAAGCATCAAACTCACATGGATCATACCGCAATATCACAGTACAAAATTATAACAGGCTCCCACTATTTTTTTTGTTTTGTTTTTTTTTTAGACAGGATAGTACTACTGCATTTCCCTAGACATTTGCTGTTTTCCCATCAACACTCCTTTACTTGCTTGCCTCAGTATTTTAAAATCTTGCAAATGCCTTAATCCCTCCTAAGAAAGTATTTAAGTTTTGCAGAGCAAAATCCAATCACCCTTTTTTTTCTTCAATATCACTACCTATTCATTATTTTCTCCAGTTTTTCTGCTAGCAGGAGGTTATCTAAGCAGTGCCAACATATTCTCATCTATATGTCTGCATATGTCCCCAAGAAAAAGATCCCCTGAATTTACCTAGCTACATTTTAAGTGACTTGTCTTTTCCTGGCTAGAAGACTACTCACAAACTCCTTGCAATCTTCAACATTTTTCACAAATTTAAACCAAAAACTTTCCTCACAATCCCTCATCCTACACCTCATACCTCAATGTCTGTTATTGCTGTTTACATTAAATCCTGAAAGTAGTTTTTCACACATTTTTTAACAGTGAAAAAAAACTTCATCTTCTAATCTTCATAATTGTTTATAAATTTTATAGCCTTTCAAAGTATTCTCTATAGACTCCAATCCACTCATTCATTGTAGTACCTCAAGTTTCAAAAATATTTTAGTGAAAAGCACAAGAAACAATTTTCTGGTACACTGTACATACATTTAAATAACTGAAGAGTAAAAGATTTCGCTACACCATAACTAATGTTTCTGTACCATTTAACTCTTTCCCTCAGTTTCATTACAAAAGAAATCAAAATTTTTTACTTCTCAATAGTTTCTAATAACAAAATATCCACCTTTCCTCCACTGTTTAAAAAAAATATTCCAAGTTTTTTCTATCAAAGATTCATACTCACTTGGTACCGTGTTTTGGGTCAATAGCATCAGAGAGACAGGAAGGCCCAGGTGGGGTGGAGCAGCGAGAGGAGTACCCAGTGTCACATCCTCCGCTGCCAGTAGTCTCAACTCCACCCTCACTGCAAGTGTTATTATATTAAATTCAAACAAATTTACATTACCTTTAAAACTAAGGAATTTATATGTAATACTGTAGTACCTTGACTTATGAGTGCCCTAACTTAAGAGTTTTCCGAGTTACGAGTCATCGCTTGGTCGATTTTTTGCTTTGAGTTGCTAGCCAAAATCTGAGTTACGAGCAGAAAAAAAAAAAATTTACTGAAATTGACATTCGGTAAGAAGCCCAGCCTAAATGGCACAACAAAAGGTGGTTTTGGGACTTGGTACTTATAAAACAATGCTAGTGCGATGTTCTCACTAAAGGTAATCATGTAATTATCTTTAGTTAATCTACAAAAAAATAAAGTTACCAAGTTTCTGACATTTACAAAATATCTTGCCCTTTACTCCCACAAAAATATCAAAATATCTGGAATATTTCCAGTATTCCACAAGCCAACTGTAGAACAATCTTTTTTTTTTATGATTCGTCATTATTATTAAATTTACTTCAATAATAAGTGGTGGGCTTCATGAGATAAATTAATAACTTACTTCCGAGATATTCACATATCACTGCACTAGTGATCTAGCGCAGTTAGCCTCTCAAAAGCTCTGTTTTCTCTAACCCAGGACCAAAGAACACGTTATAGGAAGGAGCAGTAATGATTTTATATGCTCGGACTGGTCCTGGACACTCGTCATATTATGGCCTATTTTATTCATTCTAGAGCATATATCATGTTTCTATGTTACTTATAGTGTTTATTATGTCATATTAGATCAATTATGATAGATAAATAAGTTGTAGAGTTTAAATTAACATTATACTGAAGTATTTTCTCCTACCCCTGGGGTGTTTTTTGGGGGGTTTGGAATGGATTAATGGCATTTCAATTAATTTCAACGAGGAAACTGATTTGATATACAAGCAAATTGAGTTATCAGCTTGGTTATGGAACGAATTAAACTCATAAGTCTAGGTACCACTGTACAGTTATCAGCTTGGTTATGGAACGAATTAAACTCATAAGTCTAGGTACCACTGTACAAGTTAAAGAGATAACATGGACACACACAAAATACCTGTGCACAGTGTGAAAACATTTATACTGTAATGCAGCTTTAATAAAACCTAAATTACTCTTTGCCAAACAAACATGTTTGAAAAGCAACTAAAACTATAGCAATCATAAGCACCTGGGAAACAGGAGGCAATCAGGTTTGATCCAAGAAAAAAGAAAGACAGCTTCAATTCTTTAAATCAAGGCACCCACCTTCTTTGTAGGGTGGTAAATGTTATAGATAACTGAAATATGGAAGTGCATCATATGTAATAAAATACTAAGGGGAACATGCAAAAATAGTACCCAAGGGATTTTAATGTGTACATACTACTTAACCCTTAAATGGTCCAAACGTATATATACATTTTTTCAACATCTGAAAGTATGTAAAAAAATGTAGTTCTTCTTTTTTGTTTTGCATTTGAAAACGTGTAAAAAAAACTTTTATCTACATTTTTTTTTGTTATATTTGAAAATATGTAAAAAAAAAATAGATCTACTTTTGTAGCATTACGAATTTGAACGTCGATCTGTTTGGACCGTTTAAGGGTTAATTAATGCTGTAAATAATGCATCAGTATATATCCTAAAATGAAACTTCTATTAAAATAATTTATGGCTCCTCTCCATAACCAGAACATTTTTGCTTACGTTTTCTTTTCGTGCTGGTTGCTCTTCCAGAGAACATTTTGTAATAGCTTCTCCACCTCTTTTGCATCAAGAGCTTTGTTGGATGCAGGTAACTGGGATACTGAGAACTGGTCATCCTTGCACTTCTCTTCATTTTTGTCCAATGGAGGCTTATATTCAATGACACGGTAATTGAAACAATGCTTTGGAGGAGAATATTGCTCTCCGTTGTTCTCACTTTCAACGCTCTTGACAAGTTCTTTATTTTTACTATTATTTTTGCTGTTATTCCTGTTTTTAGTGATGGTGGAATTTTTGTTACAATTTTTGCTATTGTTGCTTTCTTGAATATTCTTCACAGCATCTTGACCAAGAACAGGTACAACCATTCTGACTTGGGCACCACCAAGAAAGCAAGCCTCACTCAGTCTGGTTTCCTTCGGATTAGGCAACAGACACAAACTTTTTCTACTGACGTTTCCAAGTTCAGTTTTGTGCAAAGATGAACCTGGGGCGACTTTTACTCTGTTGCTATCAGACTCAATACCAACAACCTAGCACCACCAACACCACTTACACCCGTTCCAAAACACTCCCACTAATAAACATTTGCACTGAAAGTAAAGATAATATTATTGTACAAAATTTTTATTTGTATTTTTTTGAAGGGAAAAAGTCCGAAAAAAGGGTTCCTTTAAAGTGTTTTTGAAGTTAAGTGATCGGGCCCGGGGATATTTTGGATACGAAAAAACTTGGTCGAAGGAGCAGAAAAAAGGGTTTTGGGGGGTTAGCGGGGTTATGAGTGTAAGAGACCCGTGAGCTGTGTTTGGGGGAGAACCACCTTGGGTGCCACCCTAAATAAAAAAGAAATGTTCATTTTTCTTCAGAATTCCTAAAAAGATACCAAAATAACAGACATGATTTTTAAATTTCCATGATTGGACCCGATCTACCTGGAGTTCATTACCTTTGTAACTAGTTCAGCTATCATAACTTTGGGGTCCAGTCCCTGGACCCATTATGTACCTTTGTAATCTTTTGACTACCACCCACAGGATGGGTATGGGGTGCATAATAAACATATTAAACTAAAAAACTGATTATATGATCACATTAACTTACCAAGTGAATTAAAAAAACCTTAATATAAAGTAGACCATTATATTACACAGATTTATTTATCGCGTCATGGTTATTACACTATTGCAAAATTGCGGCATAATTTTATATAACACTTCCTAAAATTTACTTTACACAGCTCTTTTTCCGGATGGGGAAAAAAATTTGGAGCGCCGTCAGCTGGATGGAGGGATATTTCCCCTCCATGTAGCAGGCTCTCAGGCCTTTTGCCTTTGGGTAAGGCCACTGTCTCTGTGGGGAAAGCTTATCTTCCTCCCCTGCCACCCCCGTCCCAGTGTTCCATGCATACATTACACATCTCGTACAATTCTCAGATTTGTTTGTGAATTAGGTTTTGGTCTTTTCATTGCCATATCTTGTATCTCCCAAACAACCATGGCAACCAAGAGGCATGCGAGTGATGCTGGAAGTGGCAAAAAAAAGGTTTAAGTGTTTAAGCTTGGAGTTATGAAGAAAACAGATATTAGACAAGCTTAAAAGTGGTCCAAGTGTGGTGGGCATGACGAGAGCTCATGGCCTTAATAAAGTGTTGAGTCATACAATTAAAAAGAATGAGGCAAATATATGGTCTTGTGTAATGAATAACCCAGGTTGTCACCTCATGAAAAAAAAAATGACACCAAGATCACACAAGGTAAATAAAACAGAAAACTTATTGCTTGAGTGGACTGAACAAAAAATAAAGGTGCACCACTTAATTTCATCTTAATTAAGGGAAAAGCCTTACAGTTGTATAAAACAGTGAGTGATGAGGAAGGAACGCCTGAATAAGTGTGTGTGCTTACACTGGCTGGTTCCACAACTTAAAGTTGCACAACAGATTACATAATATTAAGTTTTCTGGTGAAAGTGCTTCAGCTTATCATACAGCAGCAAGTAATTTCCCTGCTGAATTGCAGGAAATTATTTCTGAGGGTGGCTACAAGCCACAGCAAGTTTAATGTTGAAGAGACAAGTGTATTTTGGAAGAAAATGCCAACAAGAACTTACATCATTCAGCAAGAAAAAAGTGCAGTGGGCTTCAAGGCAGCAAAGGATCACTTCACCTTGTTCCTTTGTGGTAATGCATCGGGTGATTTTAAGTGTAAGCCCGTGGTTATTTACCGCTGCAAGAATCCTCGCGCTTTTAAAGGTGTAGATAAAAACACCTTACCAAGTGATGACTTTGAAGGTATGAGGGATGATGTGAATGAGCTCTTAGATGAAAGGAGTCCAGAGGAAATGTTGGCAGAGCTCAATGCACAGATACAAGGGAGGCGAATAACAGATGACGATGGTGAAGAATCCGAAGAAAAAGTTAACATTGCAAAAGTTACGTGAGCAGTTCCATTTAATTGGTAAAGTTGCAAACTTTTTCACTGAAGACAACCCTGACAAATCTAGAAGCAGTGCTCTGAAATGGGGTCTAGAGCAACTGATGATACCTTACCGTCAGCTGTATGATGTACTGCAGCATAAAAGAGCCCAGAGATCCATTACAGAATTTATGCACATTCCAGCACAACCATGACTTGAGTACCAGAACCTCAACCATCCAATTCAGCCAACAACAAACAGCTTACCTCTCCATTGTCTTCACAATCACTAACATAAACCAGCAACCACAATTTAAGGTAAAAAATATTATTTCTGTTGCATTTGTAGCCTTAAGCAATAGCAACAACATAATACATCATGACAATGAACAAATATTATAGAATCAATTTTATTTTTGTAAGATCTAGTGATCTAAAAAAAAAAATAAGTTGTTTGGCATTTTTGGGGCTCCCAGGAACATAACCCTATTTGTCCCCCAAGTTCTTCAGTTAATCTAATATGGATTTATCTAACATGACATGTTCAGGAATGTAACTACCATATTATATAACGGACCATTATTAAGCTCCAAAAAAGTCACTTTGTTGGACTTTCCTTGGGGTTATCCTAGGTAATCTACACATACTTGAACTTTCGGTCCAGGATGGACAGAAAGTCCTAAAATATCTTTCCCAAATGGGTTAATCGTGAACTGTTCTACCCATGGTACTGTGGCTTTTATTTTCCAACAAACAATATCAAATCTACTCATGCAATACAAACACAAATAACAGAGAAAATAACACACAATTATACTTTTACATGAAGCACATTAACTTTGTCACTGTCGCAAGCCCCTTTCTGAAACTGTCATTCTATGTCGAAAATTTTTTGGAAAAAAAATTATTTTTCTCATGAAATAATAGAGAATCTTTTCCCAATGGCAATAACACCAAAGTACGAAATTTGGTCGAAAACTCGTGGAATTACGCTCCTGAGAAGTTAGAGATCTCGGCAATATATATGCATTGGCAATTTCGCCGACTTTGAGCCCTATTTTTGGCCAATTCCATTGTTCCAGTCGACCAAACTCATAGCTATTTCTTTAGAACTCCATTTTTTTTCTATCAATTGAGTACAAGAAGCTGCCCATTTACTGATTTGAACTACCCAATAAAGTGGTCAGAAATTTGCAATTTGGCCAATTTCACACAAATTAAAAAAGATGCCAATTTCAAAATAGGGTCCAGAAAAAACAATGCAGACATTCTTGGCACTAAAATAACAAACTGTTCATTAGCCACATCTCCAGGCCCCTCTTATATTACTCTTGCTTTCTATTTTGATTTTTTATTCACACAAAAAAATAGAAGATTTACCATTATGAAGACTACTGCATTATTGTAAAAATGGTATATCAGTGCACTAGCGAAAGAATATTAGACTCCCCAGTTGACGTGTATTGGATGTGTGGTGTGATTTGCTTACTCTTGAACATTGGTAAAAATCAAACATTTCCGTTACTTTGAGCTCAATTTCAAGGTCGCTTTCATCGTGAAACTAATCGAAATCACCTCTATTTCTGTAATATGTTTTCCATTCTATCAAGTGAGACCAAGAAAACGAGAATACAGCCATACTATATGAAAATACACCTCAAAGTCGGTATTTTAATCCAAAAACACGGTCGAGTTTTTTTTTTCCTCATTATGCACTGCGTGCTGCAGGATTTTTTTATACAGTGCACACTGACCACACAGACCCATTCTCTCACATGTGGGCCCAGCAGCTTTCTCCTGCTTGATTTGAAGCCGCTAGAATAATTGAGTACATATACAGGTACCATCCGACTTACGACTGAGTAAGTTACAACAAACCGGTTGTAAGTCGAAATGAACGTAAGTCGAACCTTACTACTGAATTCATCATCACATTTTTGTAATGACTATTTTATTGTTTTATTTTTTACTTTACTTTTTATGCTGTTAGTTCTGTATTTTATACTGTAAGGTTTAGGATAAACACTGTGTACAACACAAACAGTTGTTTATTTCCCAGAAATTTGGCATAGAAAACACGGTCGCAAGTCGAATGGTCGTATGTTGAGCAGGTCGTAAGTCAGATGGTAGGTGTACATCCGAAACGCTGGCTTGTAAGACGTATATATACGACCACAACATTGAAAGGGTTAAACCCAATCCTTGCAAGTACGAATTAAGACCCAAGTAAAGTACAAATGACGTAAAAACATGTCCAGTACCATACAGTTTTGGAGTAGATGAGGAGTTAATTTAATATACAGGAGGCCCTCCACATTCACAAGGGTTTGGGGATCAAGAACTTTGCGAATCTTGAAAATTCACTATTAAGTTTGGGGACTAAATTTAGGGAAATATAATAACCTAATTTTCAATTAGCGAGGTACATGTAATTTACCGACGACCAGTAATTCTATACACAGTTTCTCGGGTGCTGTAGCAACATCTTGCATCACTCCTACAAGGCGCCCGCTACACCTCTGTTCATGCAAATTTTCTCTATGGTTAGGAAATGTGTATGAGTTTCCTATATGATCTTGAAAAATATGTCAAGTTTGGATTAGAAATGTCTATATACAGCATATCCGTTTACAGCCTCAGAAAGATATTTTTTTATTTTCAACAAGGTTGAGCTTTTGGTATCCAAGGTGGCGCTATCAACTTCGGTGAACTACGCATACTTGTAAACAATGGAGATGTGATTGTAATGATCTGCAACACGCTACATGGTGGACGTAGCACCAATTCGTGATTTGTATTCTGACATTTTGGCATTGACACCTTCCTCTGGTTTATCATTGTCGTTTGCTGGGTAAGGCCGTTGCTCTTGTTATCAGCAATTGACCTTGATGTCTTGTACATAGTGTACGTGAAACCCTGTACACGTTTTTGTGCGTCCAGTTGTCGTGTGACTGTGGCGCAAAAGTTTAAAGTGCAAAGGTGCTGGCGTTGCTTAAGCCTATATGAGTGCTTCCGTAAATATTGCTCTCTACTGTGCTGATTATTC